GATCCCCTTACCAAGCTCCTCAGCCGACACATGATTTTCTTCTATCTTACAAGCAGCATATATGCAGGTCAACCTGAGAAAAATTCAATCTGATATAGTGAGAAGCTAACAAGTAAAAAAGAAAGATTGAAAAAATATATATAAATAATCATACCAATCCAACAAACTTATGACAACTAAACAGGTAACCACTCAAACCAAACCATAAAAAAATAAGGAATAAGACCAAAAGGATAATAATATTAATCAAAAGAAAAAACTAATGCCTAATCCACAGAAAGTAAGCATCGCACCGGTGCAATCACCCTACCAATACCAAAAATAAATAAAGTAACGAATCCTATAATTATCAATTTAAACTCCAATTTAATATGTTGAAAATACAAGTGTGATGCATCCATCATCCTTAGATTAGAGATCCTCATAAGTCTGAAAGCAAATCTTACATAATATGTTTTGGTTGATGTTCCATCACCGACCATTGTAGATAGAATCTTTTAAAATAGATAAGGGCTGTTGCCTGTATATTACAAACTAATCAAAAATAATTATAATAGAAAACATTGTTTCCCTAATCAACTCGTTCCACAGGCTTGCATACCTGGATCTTATGAGGGAAGCGGAAGTTGTTACATACTTCTTGTAGCTTGTTTTCATAAAATACCCGTATGCATTGTTCTTCTTCAATACTAAGAGGTTTTGTCCGAGAATGCTTCTCACCTAACATAAAATACAACCCTCGTGAACCGTAGAAAATAGAAATTCACAACAGACAATTAGGGGGAACAAAATCGTAATGAAATACTTTGAAAACGATTAGAAAATTAAAAGACAAATTACTGTCTACATATTGAGAGAAAAATGAATCAAATTTGTAGAAAAAACATTACCACTGTCTTTTGCAGTCATCGGGGGTTCAGGATATGACAATGATCCATCAACATCTACTCCATTAGAGTTGCACCATACTTGTTTAAAAATAATAGTCATCATCAGTCAAATACCAAACTTTCAAAAGATACCATGAAATATCAAACAGTTACTTTTGTGGAGCTCATTTAAATTTATGACTCCCAAAGGCTCTTTTAAGGTTATTTCAATAAATTTCTCAGGGTACCATATCCAAATAAGCTCTTCAACTAACTATTCAAGCAAGTTTTATCACCAAATTTATGACATATGCTCCCATGTGACAAGAGATCTTGAATAAATGTCAAGTGGTGTATCCAAACTCACCAGCCCAACCTCTGTCTACAAGGTCTAAGGGAAAAGCAGCGCCCAAACAGCCACATTGTTCACAAAAATATGCAACAACAAATACTATAAGGTTGTACGGTCCAAAATCTTGCTGGCTAAAAACTTGCATTAATTTATGAAGATACTTATAAGGCAGGGGAAAAGTCTGTATACCTTCTCTAGAATGTGTTTGGCTCTCTGATTAGCTGCTTTATATTTCTCAACCTAAACCAAATTAGATTTAAGAAAAAATGAAACAGTAAACTGTAACAAATAATATCACAGAAAATAGATTTTCCTATTTTCCCTAAACCCCCCTCTCCACAGAAAAATATATCAGCCTTGTTGAGGTAACAATGTGACTATGATCTTGTTTTAGATGAATAGCAAAGGCAGAAGCCAAAAATTACCAGCTGTTGAGGAGTAAAAATCCACTTCACTCGATGAGTAGAGGTCATGAAATCAGCCATGAAGAATCAGAAGTCCTAACTGAGATGCTTTTGGTTTGATTCACAAATAAAAAGGGGCAGGCAATGAAACGCTCTCCAAGCTGAGATAAAGTCAGGATAAGTATTGTTGGAAACCAAAATCCAAAAGTAAAACTTAATAAAAGAAAACACCCATATAGTCTCTCTCTTAGAATGACATATTGCAACTACAATGAAGGACTCTGCGGCCATCAAAGTATAAGAAAAAAGCTTTTCAACTGATTCTGGAATTTTTTAATTGGTTTGGAGAAAAGTTAGACAAAGGTATTAGGGACTAAGTTAAAACAAAAAGTATAGGGGTTAAGCAAGAAGATGAGGGAGATTGAGTCATTATTGCAGGATTTTGTATTAAAATGCATTACAAAATACAGTTGTTCCGGCCTCCCACATAGTATCAGGAGTGTAGGAAAATACACAATAATCAGAAGTAAACATTGATTTCCGGTTAAATAATCTTCCAGTGTCTGAAAAATAATATATGATACCACACTACTATAGGGATACAACAATTTTTTTGAATTTAGGATAAGATATGTTGGATGGATACTTATAAAAATATATAGAAAAATCTATATAGATGCAGGGAAAGAAAGAAAATAAATAATCTGTTACGATCATCCATGAATATGTAATAGAAATGGGCCAGATTTTAAAGAAAATAATGAATTTTTATGATAAACCCTACTGTGAAGCAATGCGGTGGCAGACTTGGGTAGGATGGAAAATACAAAATGAATGAATGGTTTAAACAGGGATTCAGTACTTTAATTTACAAGGGAGCTCTGAGAATTGACATATGGGTTCCAGCCCTAGCATTGAAAAGAGAAAACGAAAAGGGACAATGCGACAATAGTGCCAAAGTGGTAAAAAAAAAGACAGTCGAAAATTGGAGAATAACAGCCAATAGAACCAAAATCAACACAAGAGGAGCAGAAAGATTCAAAATAAAGATTAAAGAAAATTAAATAACAAACTGAAGAAGAGAAGTAGGACAAGTGATTTTACATGCCAGAAGAAAGCGAAGGAAGAAAAGGGTTTTGAGGAGATTGTCCAAGACCAGTAATGTGGCAGAGAGTGGAGAGAGAAGGAAACACTATTTCTCTGATAAATTATATTTTTTAAATTGGTGGGTCACTTAAATACTTCACAACCTCTGTTTTGTTTTGGATTATTAACATTTCCAAATATATTAATAACTTTTTTTTAAAAATAATTTTAATTAATAAGAACAAAAATAAGATAAATCTCTTCGTTATCATATATATATATATATATATATATATATATATATATGTGTGTGTGTGTGTGTGTGTGATTTTTTATTTTATAACATAGGAAATTATATATTCTCTTTATAGAATAATTACTCTTATAACCATAAATATATCAATTATTAAAACCAAAATTATCAATAATAGAATTTCTAACTTAAAACAGTGTGTATTTTTTACATGAATGCTTTTACATTAGAGAGGGTAATCAACATCGTAATAGAAAACAAGATTATATTTGGAAGATGATAAATTCCTAACTATAAAGAGTTAAATGTCTTTTTATCTTAATTATTTCTAATTATTTTTAAAAATTAAATTATACATTTTTTTATTGTTACATTTGTGTAAAAGTTATATAAAATATTTTTCAATGAGAAAAAATATATAAAAAATATATTATAATCACCATGCTTATCTACATATTATTTATTAAAATAAGATTTTATACAATTTTTATAAAATAAAAAAAATATAGATAATATTTTATAATTTTAAGAATAAAATTTTATAATATTTTAATAAATAATATGTAAATAAACATAAATTATAATATAATTTTTATATGTTATTTTACATAATTTTATAAAACAAAAAAATAAAATAATATATAGTTTAATTTTAAAATAAAATATAGTTTTTAAAAATAATTTAATGACAAAAATATATGATCCTTTTTTAAAACTTGTCTTCTTTTTTTCATCTTCTGCTCATGTAAAAAAGGACAACAAAGTCACTTTTCCATTCTCCATTTCTCCCTTCAAACCACATCAAATACATTAATTCAAATACTCTAGAATCACACAACTTGACTTTAGAAGAAATAGTTGAATTTTATATATACTATATGTACTAATCATCCTAATCACTCAAAACATAATAATTACATCATCATATTTAATGGCTGAATCACCTGCATCTAATAAAAGTAAAAAAAGTTTTTATTTATATATCTATCCTAATAATTATAATACTGTGTGACCAAATTCAAAATACTCCCCCTCATAAAGAAATGAGACTTACAAAAATTAATAATAATAAAATAATCAAAAAATAATTTTTATCTAAATCTTCATCTTGTAATTCATTCATAATTGGAAAATAAGTTTAAACAAACTTACTAGCAAAAAGAAGTCAATTTACTAATGAAGTATTAAATGTTATGTAAAAAAATTAATTATTCAATCCTATAAGAAAGTAAACTATTCAATGTTATGTAAAATTTACCATCCATGGTTATTTAAATAAGTTACTTATTTTAATTTTATAAGTATTATGAAACCATGCTGATTTAAATAATTTTATATAAAATTTATTGCAGTGTTTAGGTTGTTAAAGTAAATGTTTACATTATTTTTGCATATTGTAGGAATAATTTCACATGTTAATTTTTAAAATATTTGATGTCTTTCAATCCATTAAAAGTAACAAAATTTCTTTCACAATTACATCTTAATATTTAAAAGACTATTTTCTTATTGTTTTTGTTTAATCCCACAGTAAACATTTGATTTAAAACAAACAACTGTTATACACATCAGTACATTAAATTTTACAGTACATAAAGTTAATGCTAAATCTATCAAACTTTTATACAATAATACATAATATACATATATACATACATATACATATATACATACATATACTATATATATATATATATATTCAGTCTCCACTTATTAGTAGTTATGACTATTCAACTATTGAATGATAACTCATTTATTATTTACTTTTTTTGAGTTAAGAGTATAGTTGGTTCTGGCATTAAATTAGACAACCTTTCATTTTGCAAAACTTTTGTGACATTTAAGTGTTTGTTATGTTTTCTTGATACAAGAAAAACCAAATCCTAAAACTAAATTTATGGTATTTGAGAGAAATAAAATAAAAGAAACTAGAATTGTGCTATTGAAGGAATCCCCAATGTGGTCACGAGAAAAGAACTGGCAGCAGAGCCTTGTGGGGAGAGACTCTGAAAGGCGCGAACACGAAGCTGTAATGGTGGTCACATTACAAATGCACTTACTCCAAAACAACAACTTTATAGTTCGAAGAAACAAAACTGCTACATTCGAATTAAAAAATAATGTGAGCAAACGAAAATGAACGCATAATTAAATTGAAATTATTAGTGTTGAACAAACACCAATGATTAGAAAGTTAGTAGCATGAGATGCTCTAGGGAGTTGAACCTTTTTTTTTTGTCTTTCTCGTATGGCAATAGCAACAGGTAGCATGACTCTAATGACGGTTAGGCCTTTTTGTTTTCATGTTTGAATTGTTGTTTTCTGGTTTTAGAACGCAATTTTACTGCAGACTGTGTTTATTTTTCTCTTTGTTTCGCTCTCTATCCCTTTATTCTCTCCCCATTTTATGGTGCTTGCCCTTGTAATTTTATTTTCTTCATCATTACTATTTTCAATTTTAATTACCCCTTCACGTTTTTTTACTCTCTTTCTTCTTCTATTTCAGTCTTTAATCAGCACACAATCCACAATGCAATACCATGGTCTCAGTTTTTCCCGTTTTCTTCAACCTTTCTTTCTATATATGTCTACTAACACCTTGTGACCTAAACTAAATTCAATCCAACTTCAACATGCTGTAGTTGATTGCTGCATTATTAGTTGAATTCCTTTCAGTTTTTTTTTTACGGGTAATCGATTTCTCCTTTGATCGTTTATTTTGTGAGAGTGAATTATATGTATCTACTTTAGTGTTTGTGTTGCTTGTATGATGGCACTGAGTTTTGTTGATTTCAGAGACTGAATTATCGATCCCTAAGCTCCGTTGACAGTTAGGAGTTTTGGAGTTTCTGAGTTTTTTTATTTTTGATTGCGGAGAAGGTAAGCTGCACTGCATGCGTGTTGAGGTCACCTCTGCTCTGCTTTGGTAGATTATTCCTATTGTTAATGTTGGTTTTGCAGGTTTTGGAGTTGGAGAGTGCTATGAATTTGGGTGTGGAAATGTTCGGGACGAGTAGAAGGCACAGGAGCGGTGGGCCTGTGGGACCCGTTTTGATTTCGAAGCGTTTTGTTTGGCCTCACGGTGGAAGAATGGTGTTTCTAACAGGTTCCTTCACGAGGTAACAACTTGAATTATTGAATTGTTTATTGCCACGGTGGTTCTGTTGTAGCCGTTTCGATCTTAGATACAGTGTGTGCGTTATTGAACATGGGGAAGTGTGACAGTGTGATGGTGTTTGTGTCACTGAATGTCACTTTGATTGCTTTTTTTTTTTTGGCTGTTTTCTAGCTTTTTGGTAGTTCGTTTTTTTTAACTGCAGAATATAATTAATTCAAATACTTCCCCTTTTTTCTACACAGATGGACAACAGTTATACCTATGTCACCCAGGGAAGGATGTCCAACTGAATTTCAAGTTATTTGCGGCTTAACGCCTGGATATCATCAGGTTGTTTGGCTTGGCCTCTATGAATTATGAAAACCTGATAATTAATAAAAAGAATTATGTCTTTTTCCCATACATGGTCAATGTTTAGGTCAGAATGCACCTCTTTCTCTTTATCAGAGTTGGGAATGAGGAGGTCACTGTCACTGACAGAAAGGATAAAGAAGGAGGTTGCTTGTGAATTAATCGCGTTAAACAACTGAGATTTTAATGTGATAGAATAGTCAAAGAAACAAGTAAATAACTTTACGATGATATTTATCTTTCTTAAGGAGTTTGTATAACTTTTAATCATATTTATGGGTTAAAAACTGACATGGCCATCATATGAGGCATAATAGTTGCCTTGTCTCCTTTTTATGCTGTACATATGTTAAAAATTAAATGTCAATAGATGAAATTTAAAATCGAGTACTTTTTGGTAATTTGCATCATTCAAGAAAGTCATATATGCAACATGGCCATCTAGATTGTTGGTTAGGTTAAAAGGTATTGTTGATGTTACCATCTAATGCTTAAAGTTGTGTCTTGTGCTTAGTCCAGATGGAAGATTAGACCACCTTCTATCTAAAACTTTAATAATATGACTCTGGAGAATGGCACATTGCTGTTCAAGCAACCCATTTACAAAGTCTTCTATCATGTCATGTTTCACATCAATTAAAAGCCTGTATTAATTTTTATTCTTACTGTATGTCATACGATAAAAGGAAGAATTAAAATAAATAATCATGCCCTCTTTTAAGATACATTGAAGCTGCAAGTAGTTGAGTGGCCTATTGGACGATTGAACCTCTTGCAGCTTCATTACACTCTCCTCCAATAGGTGGAACCAGATGATATATAGTTTCACTGAGAATTAAACCTTTTTTTTGTATTAAATTTGATTCATTTGAAGGTGCAATTTCTGATGCTATTGATTTTTTCTAAAATTTTGTATGGCTGATGCTTTGGCCTAGCTCAAATGATAAGGACAAACTGTGCTTAGGTTAGAACTTTTATTCAATCCCTTATAAAGCAAACAAAAAAGAAAAGAAAAAGGAGAGTAGGTTTAAGCTTTGAGCTTTTCTATGAATTGACACAGGTAAAATATACACTCTTGATTAGGTATACAATTTTTCTGTAATATATAGCTTTATTATGATCTTTCTATTTGTATTCATTATTTCCTTGGGAATCAGTTTCTTTATTGTTTTTGTAAACATTTTTATTGTTACACTTATGGACTGTTAGAATGTAAGAAGAATATCTAATAGTATCTTGATTGTATCTTAGCATAATTTAGAGCATCTTTGATTATCTTCAAGATTAGTTTCATATTTCCCTGTTCTATGATGATTTGTTTCCTGATATGATTAACATTATGATCTAGTATTACGGTATTAGTATAAATAAGTGTGCTTTATATTTTATATCATCCCGTAACTCATTAAAACTCACCAGATTTTTATTCAAACTTTCTGTTCTGCCAATTTTCTCTTTCAATAATTAAAAACTTAATGTGATATTAGAGTGGCAATATCGTCCTTGACTGGTCATGTCACTATTCTGCTGTGGCGTTCCCATAAAATCTGACTACTCCCTTTTACCATTGTTGTTTGCCACTGCCGGCAAGTTTTCTTGTGGCCGCAAATTTTTTATCTGAGATGTACTCTAGCCTCATTCTTAGTCCTTGTCATTGGCCATGGTCAGTTTTTGTACCAGATCTGATCTCTCACCCCAGTTTTTGTCTTGGACATAATATGGCCTTGCTAGTCTCCTTCCCTGAAGCTCTTGCTCTTCAGTCCCTAGTAATCTCACTTTGTTTCTTTCCTAAACCATCTGATGTTCGTCATGATGTTTTATGTTCACTACTGATTGTTTGGGCAATTTAGTTTTGCCAATGAGTTAGTGATAGACTGACTGATTCATACCAGCCTCTTACTGAATCATTCTGATGGTGATTTCTCCAGTCTGTCTATAAGTGATGCACCTGGTCATGCAACATTCCGGCTCTAGGACGATGGTCATTCCAGCTATGTTTGGTAGAGCCCATATTATATTGAAAGGATTTATTTGTAACAACCATAAAGCTTACAAGCTAAACTTGAGTAAGAGTGTAAGAGTATATGAAAATATCCAATAAGCTTTGGATTATTAACCTCAGTAATCTTTAACTGCAGGGTGAGTAGTAGAATATATGAAAAATACAAATAGTATCTTTATTTATCTTGGAAGAATTCAGAGTATCCTAAATCATCTCTTCGGATTAGTTTCCGCTTTCTTTATATAGCTTTAGGACTATGATTTGTTATCGGAATAAAGAAGGGTCAGCACTTTGTGCTTTGTAAAAATATTGAACACATCAAATATTTCAGAATTCGATTCTAAATGACCCTTCTCCCTCAATACCTTAAGCCCTCTATATATTCAACAAGAACATTAGTAGATTTGGTTCTTATAATTTAAACAGGATTACAAATTTAAGTCATTGCATATTTGGTATGAATACGTAAAATTTTGATGAGATGTTTGTTCTACATGATGACATAGCTTGTAGCTTTGTTTTTTCTTTTTCTTTGACGTTTTTTACATTTTGGCCTAAAATAATCACTAATTTGTTGCAATTGTTTAATATAATACAACTGTCTTGCACAGTAACTGATATTTACGGAAAAACTCTGATATGGAAAGTGTATTTCTTTCATTATTACGTTTATAACATTGTTTCCACTTTTGTGCAGTACAAATTTAATGTAGATGGTGAGTGGCGGCATGATGAGCATCAGCCATTTGTATGTGGGGACGGTGGGACAGTGAACACTTTTTATTTAGTGAGACAACCAGTTATTTTGCCTCCTATCGTAAATGCTGAAACACCTGGTCGATCCTACATGGAGGTTGACAATGATGTCGTTGGGCATGTGGTAAGTTTTTTCTCCAATACGATCTTTATCGCCTTGACTGTTGCATATATGTGTTTGGATAGTATTCTAAAGAATATAGAGTATTACGGGTGAATGAAACTTATATCTATTGTTATCCTTAAAGTATATTTTCTTCTGTTAACTTAAACTATCATGCATGCATTTTAGTCCTACTAGTACATTTTTATCATGTGTGTGTGAAACTACCTATGTAGCTGACGTTTCTGATTTTGATGAAAGTCAAGAAGATGCTGATGTGATGTAACTTAAGATTTTAAATTATAAATTCATGACTATTCTCATTTTTCCCGAATCCACCCAAAAAAGTGCAAGACCCTTCTTTGCTTGCATACTTGGAAGTGGATAGGAATTTTGAGCTTACTTGTAACAACAGTGTATGTGACAGTTGTGGCGAAGTTGGAATCTTTGTACATGACGAGATCGCTGGTTCATAGGTTGTGTCTGAAGCAACAACTCTATTCGTTCAAGATGACAGATTCAAGAACCATAGAGGAGCAGCTTGCAGAATTTAGTAAGATTGTTGACGATCTGGAGAATATTGACGTGAGATTGAAAGATGAAGATAAAGCGATTATTCTTCTGAATGCGCTTCCAAGAACCTTCGAGCATTTCAGGGATGCCTTGCTCTACGCTAAAGATCAGGTGATCACGCTAGAGGAGGTTGTGACGTCAATTCGAACCAAGGAGTTTCAAAAGCTCCAAGATTCGAAGGCAACCGAGGAGGTGGCATCTGGGCTGATTTCGGTGAAAGGGAAATGGAAGAAGCAGGCTGGAAATGGGAAGAAGTCAAAGCCAGAAGGNTTTGTATTCATTATTTCCTTGGGAATCAGTTTCTTTATTGTTTTTGTAAACATTTTTATTGTTACACTTATGGACTGTTAGAATGTAAGAAGAATATCTAATAGTATCTTGATTGTATCTTAGCATAATTTAGAGCATCTTTGATTATCTTCAAGATTAGTTTCATATTTCCCTGTTCTATGATGATTTGTTTCCTGATATGATTAACATTATGATCTAGTATTACGGTATTAGTATAAATAAGTGTGCTTTATATTTTATATCATCCCGTAACTCATTAAAACTCACCAGATTTTTATTCAAACTTTCTGTTCTGCCAATTTTCTCTTTCAATAATTAAAAACTTAATGTGATATTAGAGTGGCAATATCGTCCTTGACTGGTCATGTCACTATTCTGCTGTGGCGTTCCCATAAAATCTGACTACTCCCTTTTACCATTGTTGTTTGCCACTGCCGGCAAGTTTTCCTGTGGCCGCAAATTTTTTATCTGAGATGTACTCTAGCCTCATTCTTAGTCCTTGTCATTGGCCATGGTCAGTTTTTGTACCAGATCTGATCTCTCACCCCAGTTTTTGTCTTGGACATAATATGGCCTTGCTAGTCTCCTTCCCTGAAGCTCTTGCTCTTCAGTCCCTAGTAATCTCACTTTGTTTCTTTCCTAAACCATCTGATGTTCGTCATGATGTTTTATGTTCACTACTGATTGTTTGGGCAATTTAGTTTTGCCAATGAGTTAGTGATAGACTGACTGATTCATACCAGCCTCTTACTGAATCATTCTGATGGTGATTTCTCCAGTCTGTCTATAAGTGATGCACCTGGTCATGCAACATTCCGGCTCTAGGACGATGGTCATTCCAGCTATGTTTGGTAGAGCCCATATTATATTGAAAGGATTTATTTGTAACAACCATAAAGCTTACAAGCTAAACTTGAGTAAGAGTGTAAGAGTATATGAAAATATCCAATAAGCTTTGGATTATTAACCTCAGTAATCTTTAACTGCAGGGTGAGTAGTAGAATATATGAAAAATACAAATAGTATCTTTATTTATCTTGGAAGAATTCAGAGTATCCTAAATCATCTCTTCGGATTAGTTTCCGCTTTCTTTATATAGCTTTAGGACTATGATTTGTTATCGGAATAAAGAAGGGTCAGCACTTTGTGCTTTGTAAAAATATTGAACACATCAAATATTTCAGAATTCGATTCTAAATGACCCTTCTCCCTCAATACCTTAAGCCCTCTATATATTCAACAAGAACATTAGTAGATTTGGTTCTTATAATTTAAACAGGATTACAAATTTAAGTCATTGCATATTTGGTATGAATACGTAAAATTTTGATGAGATGTTTGTTCTACATGATGACATAGCTTGTAGCTTTGTTTTTTCTTTTTCTTTGACGTTTTTTACATTTTGGCCTAAAATAATCACTAATTTGTTGCAATTGTTTAATATAATACAACTGTCTTGCACAGTAACTGATATTTACGGAAAAACTCTGATATGGAAAGTGTATTTCTTTCATTATTACGTTTATAACATTGTTTCCACTTTTGTGCAGTACAAATTTAATGTAGATGGTGAGTGGCGGCATGATGAGCATCAGCCATTTGTATGTGGGGACGGTGGGACAGTGAACACTTTTTATTTAGTGAGACAACCAGTTATTTTGCCTCCTATCGTAAATGCTGAAACACCTGGTCGATCCTACATGGAGGTTGACAATGATGTCGTTGGGCATGTGGTAAGTTTTTTCTCCAATACGATCTTTATCGCCTTGACTGTTGCATATATGTGTTTGGATAGTATTCTAAAGAATATAGAGTATTACGGGTGAATGAAACTTATATCTATTGTTATCCTTAAAGTATATTTTCTTCTGTTAACTTAAACTATCATGCATGCATTTTAGTCCTACTAGTACATTTTTATCATGTGTGTGTGAAACTACCTATGTAGCTGACGTTTCTGATTTTGATGAAAGACAAGAAGATGCTGATGTGATGTAACTTAAGATTTTAAATTATAAATTCATGACTATTCTCATTTTTCCCGAATCCACCCAAAAAAGTGCAAGACCCTTCTTTGCTTGCATACCTGGAAGTGGATAGGAATTTTGAGCTTACTTGTAACAACAGTGTATGTGACAGTTGTGGCGAAGTTGGAATCTTTGTACATGACGAGATCGCTGGTTCATAGGTTGTGTCTGAAGCAACAACTCTATTCGTTCAAGATGACAGATTCAAGAACCATAGAGGAGCAGCTTGCAGAATTTAGTAAGATTGTTGACGATCTGGAGAATATTGACGTGAGATTGAAAGATGAAGATAAAGCGATTATTCTTCTGAATGCGCTTCCAAGAACCTTCGAGCATTTCAGGGATGCCTTGCTCTACGCTAAAGATCAGGTGATCACGCTAGAGGAGGTTGTGACGTCAATTCGAACCAAGGAGTTTCAAAAGCTCCAAGATTCGAAGGCAACCGAGGAGGTGGCATCTGGGCTGATTTCGGTGAAAGGGAAATGGAAGAAGCAGGCTGGAAATGGGAAGAAGTCAAAGCCAGAAGGTGTGAAACAGGTGAGATGTTTCAAGTGCCAGAAGATGGGACATATCAAGAAGTATTGTCCAGAGAAGGGAAAAACTGTTCGGCCACAGGAAACTGTTGATGTGGCAGAGGCTTCTGAAGGATATGAATGTGCTGGTGTTCTGGTGGCTTCGTCTGAAGATTCTCAAAGGAGCTGGGTCATGGATTCTGGCTGCAGCTATCACATGTGCCCGGTAAAGGAGTTCTTTGAGAGTCTGGATCAGAAGGAGCATGGAAATGTGCTGCTGGGAAATAACAAGGCTTGCCGAGTGCAAGGAGTGGGGTCGGTAAGGCTGAAGATGTTTGATAACCGGGAGATGGTACTGCAGGATGTGAGGTATGTGCCTGAACTGAAGAGAAATTTAATTTCAATAAGTTCTTTTGATCTTGGAGGTTACACCACAAAAGTCGAGGATGGAGTGATAAGGGTGTGTTCTGGAGATTTTGTGGTTGTCAAAGGCAGAAGGAAGAATGACTTGTACATTCTAGAGGGATCCACAGTCATTGGTCATGTCTCTGTAGCAAGTGGGAAGACTAAGAACACCGCTCGGCTTTGGCACTTGAGGATGGGTCATATCAGTGAGAAGGGTCTTGAAGAATTGGAGAAGCAAGGCTTACTTCTGGGTGATAAACTGCTGAAGCTGGATTTCTGTTATCATTGTGTCTTGGGGAAATCACACAGGATACCGTTCGGTCAAGGGAAGCACGTAACCGAACGGCCATTTGAGTATGCCCATGCTGACTTGTGGGGGCCTGCAAGAACTCGGACTCATGGTGGAGGAGCGTATTTCCTGAGCATAATTGATGATTTTTCAAGAAGAGTGTGGATTTACGTTCTAAAGAATAAATCTGAAATGTTTCAAAGATTCAAGGAGTGACATACACAGACCGAGAACCAATTGGGGTGTAGGCTGAAATGTCTGAGAACTGATAATGGTCTGGAGTTCGTTTCAGAGGAATTTAATGAGTTCTGCAAGGATAAAGGGATCAAGAGGCACAAGACTGTAGTGAGAACTCCTCAACAGAATGGTCTGGCTGAAAGGATGAACAGAACAATTCTGGAGAGGGTTCGGTGCATGCTGCTTGGATCAGGGTTATCAAAGGCTTTCTAGGGAAAGGCTGCCAATACAGTCGTATACCTGATTAACAGGAGTCCGTCTTTGGCTCTTAATCACAAAACACCAATGGAAGTTTGGAGTGGACGACCGGCTGACTACTCAAACTTGAGGGTGTTCGGCTCTTTGGCATTTGTTCATGTCAAAGGGGATAAGCTGGAGGCCCGAGCGATAAAGAGTGTATTCCTTGGATATGCTGAAGGAGTTAAGGGATACAGGCTATGGAGGTTAGATACTAAACCGTCCAAGCTAATCATTAGTAGGGATGTCATTTTTGACGAAACGAGAACGACAATGCATGTTGAAAATCCTGGATGCGAGAAGAAGACGCTCGTTGAGGTGGAGCATACTACTGATGGAGCCGTTCGGTCATTGACTGAGGAAGACCGAATGGGTGAAGTGCGAGACGAAACTGTTCGGTCATTAGATGAGAACCGAACGGGTGAAGGGCAAAGACAGTCTATCACAGATCTTGGTGATGATACAGATGGTATATCTGGTGATGTGAGTCACTCAAGAGGAGCTGGTGATGAATTGAGGAATTATCAACTTGTCCGTGATAGGGAAAGGAGGATCTCTACGCCAACCAAACGGTTTGGAGAGGCGGATTTAATTTGCTATGCCTTGAATGCTGCTGAAGATCTTGAAAGCTCAGGTGAACTGAGAAGTTACAAGGAGGCTCTTCACAGTAGCGATCGGCATCTTTGGCAGGGTGCTATGGAGGAAGAGCTGGAGGCGTTGAGGAAGAATAGCACCTGGAGATTGGTGGATCTGCCAAAGGGTAAGAAGGTTGTAGGTTCAAAATAAGTTATACCAAGGGGTGAGAAAGCAAGGTACAAAGCAAGGCTTGTTGCTAAAGGCTTTACTTAGATTGAGGGTGTAGATTATCATGAGATTTTTGCTCCTGTTGTGAAGCACTGTTCGGTCAGAGTTTTAATGGCGATAGTTACTCACCGCAATTTGCATCTAGAACAGTTGGATGTGAGGACTGCATTTCTGCATGGAGACTTGGAGGAAACAGTTTATATGAAGCAACCGGAGGGATTTGCTGTGGATGATAGGGTGTGCCTGTTGCAGAAGTCTCTTTATGGCTTGAAGCAAAGTCCAAGGCAGTGGTACAGGAAATTTGATGATTTTCTGATAAAGCTAAACTTCAAACGGTGCAATTATGATGACTGCGTGTATACTCTGAACCGTGACAGTGAGGTACTGTATCTTCTTCTATACGTGGATGACATTCTGATTGCCAGCAGTGACAGGAGCATGATTCATGAGATGAAAGCAAAGTTGGGCGGTGCTTTCGAGATGAAGGAGCTTGAAGAAGCAAGGCGGATCTTGGGAATTGACATAAAGAGAGATAAAATGAAGACAACCCTGTTTATGATTGATCCTGGACAAATTCACTGGAAGCATTAAAGTGGATGCTTAGATACATACGGGGTCTCTTGATACTGGATTACTCTTCCAGAATAACTTTCAAGGTGGAGGTTATATTGAAGGTTTTGTTGATTCAGATTTTGCCGGGTGCATGGACACAAGGAAATCCCGCTCGGGATATGTGTTTACACTGTTGGGTACTGCTGTAAGCTGGAGGTCTACATTGCAATCGGTTGTTGCCCTTTCAACCACTGAAGCTGAATATTGTGTGCTCGCTGAAGGGGTAAAGGAGGCACTGTGGTTAAAAGGCTTGATTCGAGAATTGGGTATTGATCAAACGACCGTCCGAGTTCATTGTGACAGTCAGAGCGCCATACATTTGGCCAACCATCAGATTTACCATTCTAGAACAAAGCATATTGACGTCAAGCTGCATTTTGTCAGGAGCATTGTGGAACTCGGTGATGTCCAAATATGCAAACTTGCATCTGAAGACAACCCTGCATATATGCTGATTAAGTCGCTCGCTAAAGAGAAGTTTCTGAAATTATTGTCCAGGATTGGTTTTTTACCGTTCGGTGTGTAATTGTATACCGTTCGGTTTTGTTCTTTCTTGTAATAGTTGAGTCTAGGTGGAGATTTGTTGGTTAGACTTTTCTATTATTCTTTGGCCGATTAGTTTCATGTTGATAATTGTTCGGCTTGTTCTGGTCCTTTGTGACCGAACGCTCTCTTGTGATCGTTCGGTCTTGTAGATTCGGTTTTGGTTCGTACATTCGTTTTTTTCAGTCTTTGTTGCACTCGGCCTTCGGTTGGTTTTTTCTTAAACGACCGTTCAGTCTTTCTGTTGTTTGTTTTCAGTCGCTTGGATTGGCTATATATTGTAGCGTGTCTTTGCGTTTTAAAAAAAATAAATTCAATCTCGAAATATTCAGATCATTTCTTCTCTCTGTGTTTTCTGTTCTTTCTTCTTTGGGTTTTTTTTTTCTGTTTCTCCGTTTCACACTCGAATCCAACATATATAAAAGCAATATTTAGCCTTCATCTTTCATAAGCTATTGGGATAATTGGTATTTGACATGGTATCAAAGCCTCTTATGAGTTATGACCAAGTGGTTGGGATTTCAATCCTTCACACCCGTCACTTTTCAAAAATAAAAGTTGAATGTCAGCAAACAGTAGAGTAGACAGATGCATGTCAGAAGCTCAAAGGGAACTTGTGTAAGGGAATTGTAGCAGTAAAAAAGTGTGAAACAAATTAAGACTAAGAATTAGTTTGGTTCCATAATCCTTTTTGTCTTGGAATTATGTTACAGAAAAAAATCTACTTTGACATTGAAAATTTTTCAGGAAGCTAAACCGAGGATGTCAGAGTCTGATCTGCAGGTCTCACGACATCGTATTTCGGTTTTCTTGTCTTCACATACGGCTTATGAGTTGCTTCCCGAGTCAGGCAAGGTATGAATACTTCTTCTCTCTTAATCTTTTAATGTATCCAACTGGCCATTCAATAATAGTTTATTTGTTCTTATGTGAAGCTCATCATCTGCTATAGATTTGATTTTATGCAATTTCAGGTTGTTGCCTTGGATATAACTTTACCAGTTAAGCAAGCATTCCATGCTCTTTATCAAGAAGTATGTTTTTTTCTTCCACTCTTTAAACTAATAATGAATAGGTGTTTATCTTATTTTTTTTAACATCAGAGAATACACCCACACTCGTTATGTATGTTTATCTGCTTTCAGGGAATATCGTCAGCTCCTGTGTGGGATTCTAGTAAGTGCCAGTTTGTTGGAATGCTTAGTGCTATGGACTTCATTTTAATACTAAAACAGGTTTGTCAGGAAGACCTATTTATTAAAATATCCTGTGTCAGGTTCTAGTATAAGTAACGAAAAATAAAAACTTGCCAAATGGTAACTAATGACAAAAAAATGAAATTTCCAAAATGTATATCTTCAACTATGCTTAGATTATTGTGAAGTTGAAAGAAATCACAAGGAACGTGGTAATACTTGATCTATTCTTTTGGTTTATTTATGGCATACGTTAATGTTGCAAAACTTAGTTGTACTTTGCCATCATTGGTAAACATGTATTTTGGTCCAATTACCAATAATTTTGGCTTTACATAAGACTAGTTAATCTCATGAAATATTTTAGTGAATTTTTTCAAGGAGAACATTGATGCTTTGTCCTTGTGAAACTTTTAATTCTTTTTCCCCTCTCCTCACTGTGTCCTTGTTGCAGCAGCAACTGTAGACCTTTCTAGCTTCTGTTCTATCCTAATTGTCACTTTTGATGGCAAACAAAACCATAAGTTCTTCCTCAATCCTTTAATTTAACACGGTACTGGAGCTGAAATTGATGCCCTCTCCGTAGTTTCTAGTGGTATTTTTCGCAGTCACATTCAAACCTTTATTCTTTTTTTCCCTCTCCTTCTTATTGTCTTTGTTCAAGCAGTAATTTTCCTATAGTTTTTTCTGGACTGCATTCTGGCTGCTGTTCTATTCTATTTTTTGTTGTTGACGATCCAGAAAACCCTAATTTCTTCAACAAAATCTTTTTCTATTGTGTCCCTGTAGAGCCTTTATTAATGGTGTTATTTTCATCTTTACAAACGGCATGCTTTGTTTAGTCACTTGATGGTTTTCCGTCAACACCGGTGTAGTGCTAGATATCTAGCATCCAAAGTTATTAGAGTGTATACCTGTCCAGAAGATTTTCCATTCTCTGATTGTTCTGATTTTCTTTCTCCTAGAAAGCCCTCATGAGTAAATCAATGGAACCTGTCATGCCTTGCCCTATTGGCATGTGAAGATCATTATTGGCCCTATACTGGTCTAATATACGCCTTGTGATTTAGTTACTGGTGGCTGTTTAGAAATGTTGAAAATCTCACATCGATTATAGATAAAATCACAGTATATAAGTGACTACAAACATCACCTTACAAACTAGTTTTGTAAAATTGAGTTAGGCTTACATTTTTTAACATGGTATCAGAGCCATGTGTTCGGCGTGCTTTGTTGATTGTGTTGAATTGACTTTGTCCAGTTTTGCTTTTGCATGAATTGTTGATTACTTGGGTTGGTAGACTGGTTTTGTCTATGTAAATTTTATTTGTTGGAAGCTGAGAGATTATTAAATTTCAGCTCTTGGGGAATTGTTAGAATATGTAGTCAACTGTGATGATATTAGCTAGTAATTAGGTTAATGATTAACTTTTTTATTCTTCAATGATTGATTGTGATCAAGCTGTAAATAAGAGATCAAGTATGCAGCCCACAAAATTTTTTTTCTCTAAAATACCATCTTATTCAACATCTTTGATTTTACAGCACTCTTATATAGAAATACACAGCTGTAGGACTCATATAGAGAAATACATAGCATGTTTCTGTAAATTCTGTGGCTCATCTAACATGCTTAATTTCAGTTGGGGATTCATGGATCAAACATGACTGAAGAACAACTGGAAACACGTACTATAGCAGCATGGAGAGAGGCAAAGGAACAAGAATGCGCAATTGATAGTAAAGGGAGAGCATACCCTCAACATTTAGTTCATGTAAGTGCTCCTGACCATTTGCAACAAATATTCCACGTATCAAATTAATTTTCCAATTTCGTATATTCGTGAAATTGTTTTACATTTTGGGTAAGTTCAAAAGGTCGTATGCTCTATGAAATAGGGAATTAATCTGGGATTCCACAACATGATTGATTAAAATTATATTTATTGATGGATAGATAGATAGATAGATCAATTAAATGTGATTTCAACATTATAACTTTGATGAGGTTGCTTCTTAATCATGTACTTCCTGCTGATTGTGATTTCACGTTATCTTTAATGATTCTGTAATATTTCATGCTATGTTTATACATATTCTGTAGGCTGGGCCCCTTGAGAGTCTAAAAGATGTTGCTTTAAAAATTTTGCAAGACAAGGTGGCAACAGTTCCTATTATTCAGTCTTCTTCAGAGGATGGTTCATTTCCTCAGCTGCTACACCTTGCTTCCCTCTCAGAAATACTAAAATGTAAGCTTCTAAATTTATTGGGGAAGCATAAATGGTTTGGAACTAAAGTGCGGACTTACTTTTCAGGTATATGCAGGCATTTTAAGCACTGTTCGGATTCCTTGCCCATTCTTCAGCTACCAATTAGTACGTTACCTATAGGTGCATGGGTGTCAAAATTGGGGGAATCCAATAAACAGCCACTTGCTATGCTATGGCCACATGCTTCTCTTGGCGAAGCTCTATCTCTGTTGATTCAAGGTGACTATTCTTCTCTTTCAAAGCAGGTCAAGTCTTTTGTTCTGGCTAGATGTTGAATGGTCATCAAGTTTGTTTCCACAAGTTACAGTTGTTTTTCCTCCTCAACAAAAGCAATTATTTCAAAGCCTTATATTTAAAAAGTGTGTATCACTAAAGGAAGGGAACACAAAATTGAAAGATAGATTTTTGGATAGATGCATCTGATGCACCATTATGCACTGAGTGTCTGAACCTATAGAAACAAGTAGTGAGTTGGTAAAAACAGCATGATGGGACTCAAATCCGAAAATATCATGTCAATTGTATGTTTTTATTAATCCAGCTTACATAGAAAATGATACCACTTCTACCTTGGTATTTTCAAATTTTGAGTTCTTCATTCTTTGGTACGGGAATAATGTTCCCCTTGCAATCGGAACTATGAACTTCATAATTCTTGATTTATTATATAGGGTTTTCATGTTAGAAGCAAAATATATTCATATTAATTATGCTATATCTTGCGGTATCTTATGTTTGCTGTCATTTGCAGCTGGAATTAGCTCAATACCAATTGTGGATATTAATTATTCATTACAAGATATGTATTCAAGAAGGTAGAAACTCTCATTTTTTCCTGTGTTCACATGAGTGATTCTTATTTTTATAGTTAAAAGGAGATGCTCCATAAAGATAAGTATATATGTGATTTGTATTGATATTTTCTTCTCAGAGATATTATTGCGTTGGCTAGAGATAAAATGTATGCAAGGATAGATCTGGATGGGTTTAGTATCCATCAGGTAATTCCTCTCTCTCTCTAAATTCGTGTGACTCTATTGGTAACTTATCCTGAAATATTGTATTTTTTTTGTATTGAAAGCTGATCAATAATGTGGTCTTCTGTTTTGATGACTGAACTGCTTACATGCAAAGGTGACTGCAGCCTTTAGTCCTCTACAACTAAAAATGAATCATTCCTAACCCCCTATCAGTGATCATATTTTAATGAAATGTATCTGTTATGTGTTTTTCTTTCCTCCTAAACACGAGTTGCACACGTGTCTTGTGGTATTTGAACCTGAACCATATAACGGAAATATGCCACTTCTACTTGAGACTGAGTCAGCATGAATGTTGTTTAGTTGAGCATTCTTGTATTGAAAATATACTTGAGGTTTAGACTCATCTTGGACAGATTGGACTCTAGCTTCGGCTTATTTGAGAGTATGCTTATTTGGTGATGAAGATGCGCAAAAGAAAAAGTTTTGCCCTTCATAAATTTTCACTCGTTTCCTTCTTCCCATCCTCTCTTCTACCAAGCACACATCCCATAGTATAAACATTGAGGTCACCCATCCAAATATTTGTACACATGAAAGCCATATATATCTTATTACTTCAATTATTCTTCCCCTCCCCCTCTTTCTGGTAGAGAGCCACATTCTGCAGTGCACGAGAGAATAGTATGCAAGTATTGCATGCTCATATATAGAGGCCTGTAATGATACCCTCACTGCAGGATGTGCTTGTCTAGTGTAGATGCAGTGTGTTTTGTTTGTTACTCATGCAGGGTTTTATTCATGTAAAACTTGATCACATCTCGTTGTCTGGGGAGCATGTTACTTTTATTTAGGTTAAATAAATTATTATTCCTCTATGGTTTCGATCGTTTTCAAACTAGTTTTTATAAATTTTTTCCTTTTAAATTCGGTCCACAACAAATGCTTACTAAATAGTGGTATCATCAACTTGTATAAATTGCACTTTATGGTTGCAGGCATTGCTTTTGGGACGAGATGCAGGTTTTCCTTGCGGGCTGCGCAATGGGCCGAGATGTCATATGTGTTTGAGATCTGACTCATTACACAAAGTGATGGAGCGCTTGACAAAACCTGGTAGTTCTTCTAAACTGACAATCCCCTCCCCTTTTCTTCATGAGGGGTGAGCCAGAAAAAGAAAAAATCACCAATTATCTTCTCTTACAGGTGTTAGAAGACTTGTGGTTGTGGAGGCGGGTACCAGACGTGTGGAAGGTATCATTTCTATTAGTGACATATTCAGATTATTGTTATGCTGCTAGTTGCATAAAGGGAATTGCAGTGCTAGCCCTGGAAAGTACTTGTTCTATGAAAACTATTTATTTAAAGAGTTATTTATGCCCCTGCCATTGTGACCCGCTTGGTTTTATATATAGGATAGAAATTGTTGAGAGAAAAGTACTGTAAATTGAGGGATTAGTTATTTATCCTTTAAACAACATCACGGTGTCATGATTTTCTCCTTCGTGCCGGCACAAATGCTTTGTTTGTGTCCTGTGCTAACATAAATCAAGGAGGAACCGAAAAAAAAAGGTATTATCATTCCAGATTTTTATTATGATTGCTGAGTTCATGGCTTCATGTTGCTATGAATTTGTCTTTTCCATACATACAACTTGCCTGATGAAATGGAGTAATGATAGATAAAGGAAATAATTTGTCAATCTATTTATGATCCATTAATACTTCTTGAAAAAATTTAATCCAATTTATCTGTTAGGAGTTTTAATGGGTGAATATATCAGTCATTCTTCTAAAATACACTTATATCTTAATTTTTATTGTTTCTCATTCATGCTTTTCTCTCTGAAGTCATTCTCTTCAAAGAAACCCTCAAACTCAGTTGTATTATTTTTTCTCTAATATTTAGCACAAATTATATGCATGTTACTTTGGTGCAATTTTTTTTAAGGTAAATGTGCAGTTGGTAATTGAAACTAGGCAATTGCTTTCTCACTTTCATGATTCCTTCTTTAACTATACTTTTTTCCAAATTCTTACATTTTTTTCTGAAAAAAATATCTGTAATATAGTAAAAAGTTTATAAATGAAACTTTTCAAAAGTATTTCAGCTTCATACTCAAAAAACTGCAGCTTTTACGGTTTTAGTTGGCTACATAAAACCTGTGGGTAAACTTCTGAATATCCTATTTTTGTTCATAAAAATACTTATTTATGAGATTATGAATGTAATTAAGGAGACACTGTATTTTCATATTAAAATAAAGAATATCACTCCGAACAAACGATAGTGTTAGTATGAATTGTGTTTTCTCAATATCCTATTTTTGTTCAAAAGCTTTAAAACTTGTCTCCTAAAAAGTTGAAATATATTGATAATCAATCCATTTTATAACAAAAATTTTCTTTACAAGTGTAAAAACTTTTGATTACAAACCTATGCTGTTAGCTAAGGCTAGTCACCTCATATGAGTGAATTTTTATTTAATTTCTTTACGTTTTTTATTTTTAATTTGTGTATAAATTAATTTTAGTTTATGGAAAAATTATTTTATTTTTTATTTATACTCTTTGTTCCTAAAATATTTTTAAAAACCGTTTGCTCAAACATACCTCAAAGTTAAGTAACATAAGTAGTTATTTTTATGATAAAATATTTAGCTTTTTTAAGAATTGAATTTTCAGATAATATTTGTGTATCTTTATCGTACTATTTTTAAGTGTATATAAACTACTATAAAAATAATTTTATGATTCTCAAATTGATAAAAAAATTATTAAAAAATGACATTAAAATTATTATGGGTATAAGTGATTCAAGTTTAATTGACCTATTAATTTTAACTCAATCTAGTTAATCTTAACAAAAGTTATCTTTTCTTTTTTCAATTTAGCATCTTAATTATCATTCAGTTAGGTTGAATTGGATTATTAGATTGAATGATTGAAAAAAATTGAAAGCTCTTAATAAAGTAATCTAAAGCAAAAATATGTGTATTGTACTTGTTAATGTATGTAGACAGCGTTTTATTTTTAATCGTAAACCAATATGAAGATGAAATTAAAAGGATTAAAAAACCATAGTGAAGTAAATACTTGGGATGAATTCATACAAATTAGATAATGAAAAAAATTACATTTATCTCACTAAAGTTATTTGAAGGTGGCTAAAAATTTAAGATGCATCAATCTAAATCATTCAAAATTCTGTTATCCAAATTTGTGGTTTTGAAGAACCGGAAAATGAATACGGTCATATCATAATAAAACAAGAAAACTTATGTTGCACGAAACAATATTACAAGTAACTTCAATTAGAATAAGATCTTTCAAAAGTGAGATTAATCAAAACGATTCCACATAGATAAACTATAAATAAACCCATATAAGAATTTTTAACATCACATTCAATGTAAAAAGTAGAAAGTAAATATCATATCTTAACCATTTTCTATTACATTTGAATATCATACAAAGTTTTGTTTGATTATATATATTTTTAATTAAATTGCAAAAATAATTGTAATAAAAAGTAATTTTGAAAATAATAATTTTTGATCATTTTATTATAGATAATTATTTAATGTGTAACATTTTTTACCAAGTAGTTATTCAAGTTTGAATTAAATAATCACTTAAAGATAAATGGAAAAAAAAAATGTACACAAAAGTAGTTAAAAAAAATCCTTTATCAATAGTATAAATATAGATTATAGATAAAATTTTCTTTTTCCTTTTCTTTTCTTTTTGTGAAAATTAACAAAGTAATATGATTTCTAAATACCCACCCACCGTTAAACTCCAAGAATGGTCTATTTGACAATTGAAGTTTTATTTTTCCTCCACGGCCCACAGTTACAAAATAAACCATATCAAAATGTTTAAAAGACCCAATTATCATCAAACCGAAGCTTTATTAGCTTTTCTATCTGTGGATTAAGATGTTCCCCTAAAACATATAGCAAAAAAAGAATAAAAAAAGTGTTTTTTATTAATTACTTAAAGAAAGGTAGATTTTCAAAATAATGAATAATTTTTATTGAATATTTTGTATTAAGAACCAGCATTTGACAAAGATTAAAAAGACAGGGCAGTGAATTGCATGATTTCTACTACCACCATTTGACCTATTGGTGTGGAGTAAAAGAAATTATTGTACCTTAATAAAAAGACATGAGAAAGTGGGCAAGGAGCCCGTATGTGATCTGAACTATATTTCAGATCATATGTACAGCAGCTACATTCGATACAAATCAAGTAGGGATCAAAGCTAAAATCTGTGTTTTGATTCTTCCCATGCACATTTGAATTTCTCTATAAATAGGAAGGTTTTGAGGACAGCATGGATGCAGGCTGCTAACTGCAGAATCTAATATCTGAGCCACATCAGCTGGAGGGTATTGCCGTTCAGTACAAGTCTGCAAGTCAAAAGAACATTCCTGTTTAGTTAGCAAGATTTCTTCAATAAATTTGAAATCATTAGAAAAAAAGAAAAATAGAAAACAAGCTTGGCCAAATCAATAATTATATACAAAATAATCAGAGAAAAGAATACAAAACAGTTTATAAGGAGGAAAATACTAAAACGTGGTATTCTAGTAGTGTTGTAGTAGTTTTTTTATCAAGTAATTCCCAACTATAGATAACCAATGTAGGTTTCTCAATGTAGTGAAAGGGAACAAAAACGAGACTATAAACATTTATTAGTTAGTTGAAAGGCAAGGTGCGGACACAAATGCTAGATGCACAATTCTGAATTTGCCGCCAGTACTTAGTATAAAAAGGAACTCATTGAGTTCAGAATATAACCCAGGGGAAATTACCTGAATCATGATTAATGTAGCAACACATGAAGTGATAAGATCTGACGGAAGTTCAGTATCAAATTTCTCAGAATAATTATGTAGTTTTGCACCAGATGGATCGTTAATTATAGACTCTGATACACTGCAAGTTGAATTATTAACATGATAAAAACTGCCATTTGCGTTCACTTGCTCTTGAGACCTGATCACAGGTAACCTAGACTTGGAGGCCAACTGCTGATGATTAATAGAATCCAAAGCTTGCCCAATCTTCACGAAACCATCTTCACCTTCCTTTGTCAAAGTCAATGCCTGAATTATAGCATCGAAAAGGGTCAAAAATTCTCACAAAAATTAGAGCTCGAGAAAATACTTGAACTATGCTACCATTACATCTGACTATTATATAACATGTTTCACTACAGTCTAGAGCTACCATTACATCTGACTTTCGTCAAATATGGCTTTTATAGATCTGTGGCTAAGCCAAACAAGAAATCATTGTTTTTAAATTTGTAACTAGTGATGCAATGCTGGATGAAGAATAGTGGGGAGAAAACTTATACAAAAACCATTGAATGTAAAGTTCATAACAATAAATACAAAAATATGGATGGGAAGTGGCAGATGTTCCATAGAAAGGACATACCTTAAATGCAGCATCTACCATTGCATGTGCCCTTGACCTGGATCCTTTAATAATTTGAACAACAGTTGACCCAAACTCTTGTGTAAGAGAACCATCCAACATACTGGGAAGATCGTCATGAACACTAAAACCTGTTTGTGGCTTCATCCATGGTGGCAGAGAGTTTCCTCTGTAGGTATTGCGCTGCCTCAGTTGTAACATTGCATCAGAAACCTGTAAGTTACAACCAATCAAAATTTGGTTCTAGATTAATGCAGAACGTTGTAATGAAAGAAATAATCCATTGGAAGCCACATGCCTGCCCACTGGCTTCCTTTAGCTCTACCAGTACCGTGGCATAATGCTTCTTGAAAACCTCAGAATCGTTCAAGCATTCTATGCCATTTTGGTTTTCCAATATATCGCTATTTGAACTTCGAAGCTCTATCAACAATGTCTCCTGTAAGAGCAGCCAGCCGAAAAGTAGGTGCAAGTTCACCCATAGCAAGGTAAATTTACGTATTGGATAGACTAGCACAATTAATATTAAGAAAATAACAAATTGATAATAATTGTCTACATCAAAAACTATAAACCTTTTTATCTAGAGCACGCTTTAGTTCAGAAAGTGCATGTATGTCAGCTTCCCTAGCTTGATGGTGTGTTACTTTACATGGTTGAACACAACCTGCTTGTGCACACAAGTTATCCATGGTAGCAACCGTAGCCTGGGCAAAATCATTATTAGCAACAAATTTAAAAATAAAATCTTTTGCTTATTGTTCAAATGTTTCAAGCATCAATGTTTCACCCATTGGTGGTGAAATCTGGAGTCCCAATTCAAGCAAAACAGATGAAAAATTCAACAACCACTACAACCCCTTTATTGTGAATTCCTTCAGCCAATTTTATTTTAACTAGGGAAAAGTATTGGACAGGTAAATTCGTCCAGTTAACAACAGAACAGAACAACAGGAATATAAGTGAATGTTTGTCCACTACTCAAAAGGCATAGTAAAATAATTGGCACCAATCATCAAAAGTAAAAACTATGAAGCTCTACCATCAACTGCTCAAGCTTATTTTATTTCAGGATAAAAGGGCATAAATATATTTATATTTCAATGAAAGAAATTAAGCGCTTAATTTTGATGTACTGCTAAC